AGACGAACTCACCAAACTCGTCCTAATAATGAACCTCGTCATGCAAATGACGGAGTTTGTCAACTCACCCAAGATCGTCAACCTTTATCATTTAGAGGGTGTCGCTTGGGTAAAGCTATAACGACCGAATTGACTGGGGGTTGTCCAGATGGTGACCTTCGAGATTATCTCACGCGCAAACGAAGCATGAATCAAATGCAATAACATTGCTATTGTGAGAAGCTCATATCTGCGGTGCTTTCCCAATATCCATGTGGGGAGTTGACGCATAAATCTTTAGTCTTTGGACGATTGACTGAATCTCCAAGTGTTTCATTATCAAGAAGAAGACGTTTTCGGCCCAAGAGACAAGCGCCCAAGAATCGTCGAATTGAAGTGACGATCAACATGACCAGCAAGGGTAAAAGCAAAATCTCAACTGATGATTCAGAGACTTCTAATTTTGAAAGATCTCCTAGATTACGAGAGGCACTTATTGAAGGCCAGGGCGTTTATCAACATACCCGTTCTCGTACTGGAGCGATGATTCCATTAGACTACCGCAAAATAGTGGGTTTATCTGGTGGTGCTGAAACTGAAAACTCAGCTATTGCCACTTCTCAACCTTCCCATACAGATCAAAGTGAACAGGCAAGTGCTCACATGGCCGAAAGTGAAGAGGACTTGGCAAGGCAGTTAGAAGAGCAAAAATCAACCATCTTGAAGGACGCCTGGAAGTGATGGTGGAAAGACTCCATGAGGAGAAGGAAAAGAAGAAGAAGAAAACTCATTCCCAAGCCTCAGGATCTAGGCGTAGAAGACCTTCACCTGTTGATGAAGATCATTACGATGAAGACGATGAAGAAAAGATTGTGAAAATTCATTCTGAATCGTCTGAAGCTGAGTCTAATCCTCGTACGAAAGAACGAGATCAGAAGTGGGAAGATTTTCAGAAGCAACTTAACGCATTTAAACATCAAGGAAATTTCAAAGAGTTGGGGGTGTCAAGACCCTATCCAAGTGAATGGGATGCGATACCGTATCCTCCGAAATTCAAGCTATTTAACTTGGTGCAATTTGATGGAAAGGGTTCTCCAACCCAACACATCTATTATTTCCAGGCACAGACTGGACACATAGTGGGAAATGACCCCATTTTGACTCGATTATTCATTAGTACCCTTAAGGGGGTAGCTTTTGAGTGGTTTCGTAGACTCGAACCTGGGCCAATCCAGAGTTGGAGAGATTTAGAGAGGCTTTACTTAGCTCGATTCTTTGACGATGACACTGAAGTGTCTATGGCAACATTGCTGTCGGAGAAGCAGAAGAAAACGGAGTAAGTCAGTGACTTCGTTAAGAGGTTTAGAAATCGATCGTTACATTCACACGATAAAGTTTCGGAGGCTACTCTTGTGGAAATGTGTCGTAACAATCTTTCCATCAATATTTTATCCAAGATGGGTGCTGTTGAAGCTCGTTCATGGAAGGATTTGGTTTGGCAGGGAGAGCAAGTAGAAAACATGCTCAAGAGGATAAGTGCTGAAGAACCTCAAGAATCACAGCCTAAGAAGGGAGGTGGTAAAGGCAACTATAATTCCCAGAAACAATCAAAAGGGAAAGATACCTTTGCTGTTGAGACGGCTCCATCTCCAAAACCCTCTACTAAACAGAAAGGGAATACATCTGATAATCATTTTCAAAAGAAATACGATTTCAATGACGAACATGTGGTCTCTATTCTTACATCTTTAATCAAGATGAATAAGATCAAGTTGCCAGAGGTAAAGCGGAATGCAGAAGTATCAAAGACTGATGATCATAACTTTTGCATGTACCACAGGATGGTGCATCATCTGACTAAAGCTTGTTACATCTTGAAGGACAAGATTCAAGCTTTATTAGACGTAGGAGTGATGACCCTTCAAGCCGAGCAAAAGAAGGTGTCCGAAAATATGGTGTCACTTCAATTTGGGGATTTCGCTGAAGTACAAATACAAGATGGTGTACAACCAATTCCTCAAGTGAAGGCGAGGGTGGTGAACTTTGACCCGCATCAAAAGAAAGAGAAAGGGATGGTCCCTTACACTACTACTAAAGGTGAAGTGATGTGTGTTCATCCTGACTTGTTAATGGACGAGCAATGGACATCGGCAAATTCGAAGAAGCTTAGAGCCATGCGAAGATCTTGCAACGTCGTTTCAGCTTTTCCAGATGAGGGGGTTAAAACTACGTCACTTAGCAGTTCTGAGGAAGAACGACCAGCTTTCGCTGCACAGCCTGCACAGGTATCAGGAACCCATGGAGGAAAAGAGTATTTAAAAAAATATTCTGAAACAACAGTTGCACCACCTAGACCAGGGAAAGAAGTAGCGGAGCAACCTCAGCCTAAGGAACTTCGTTACAACAAAATGCTCAGGAAAGATGCACTAGAAAGTTTGAAAGATCCTTTTCGGTTTGATGTGCTGGCTCAGTTAGCCAACATTCTAGCAAGGATTACCTTGTTTGAACTCCTATGTTTATCTCGATCAACGAGAGAAGCTCTCCGTGAAGCATTGGCGGATAATGAGGCTTTCCTTACTCATTTTCCACCAAATCCAGTAGGAGCAACGCTGGAAGAAGCTTATCCTCAATGTTATCAAGTTTTTCGAAGAAGAATGCCATGCATCACCTTTTCTCAAGAAGACATGCACGTGAGGAACTCAAAACATGATAGACCATTGTACTTCACAGGGTACATTGGCTCTATTCAGGTGGACAGAATTCAAGTTGATCCCGGTTCTGCTTCGAGCATTATTCCTTTACGGCTCATTCATTACCTTCGAATTCCTCTACATCGTCTATCAACGATGAGAACCACCATATATGGCTTCAATGCCTCTAATACTCGTCCCCTCGGTAAAATCAAACTTAAATGCCAAATGGGTGACTTAAGGACGGACGTTACCTGCTATGTCATCGATGCAGAGACATCTTACAACTTGTTACTAGGTCGACCATGGATCCATAACAATTTGATTGTTCCATCCACTCTACACCAATGCATGAAATATGTAAGTGAGAATGGTGAAGTGAAAACAATGGTCGCAGAGAAGCAACCATTCAAGGGGGTGGAGAATTATTTTACTGATTCTATCCATTACCTTGATGATGAACCCTTTGAAGTACCACTGATCGAAGAACCAGATAGCGATAATGAAGCCGATATCGAGTCTGAACACGAATAGGGTTTTGTTTTTAATGACATAAAACCCGTCGTAATCGGACTTAAAAATCTGGATGTAAATGATCCTGTCTATGAGGACAGTGAAGTTATCTTTAATAATAATGATTTAGCTTACTTCTCGCGTGTGGAATTGAATACTAACATGACAGATACAAACACTGATGTGATAGCTGATCTGCTATCCAAGTTATATGCTGAATCAAACTTATACATGCCTATTCAATCATCTTTTGTAGCGAATCGACGACAAACTGAATCTTCGCAAGTAGTCTTCATAGTGCTGGCTAAGGTTAACGGTAAAAAAGACATCATCTTTGGAAAGAGTGACGGTCCGGTGCAAACCGTTTTGGAAGAATTCGAGAAAGAGGAAAGAGATCCGCAATTCTCATACTTTGATCCAACAACCCGAAGGCTTATGAAGAATATGGGTTATGATTTTATTCATAAACAGGGTTTAAATTTTGGCAGAGGGATCCGGACACCAATACGATCTGCGTATGTCCCAGAAGGAAAGCCAGAAGATTATTATCACAAAACTCGTAGTGGATTGGATTATGAATCTCCACCGTTTATACTACGTTTCGAGACTAAAAGAGAGTCAGATGACGATTCTTTCACCTCGTCTTCCGAATCCAATTGTTGGGAATCTGATACCAGTACAGGAACTGTATTCAAAGTACTCATGGCTAACATGGCCTCAGCATCTTTGATAGAGAATCAGGAAGATGATCAATTACTTTTGTTTGACGATCCATTGAGTCGACAGATTGGTATATAGTGGGAATACCGTTTTGAACAACGCAAACCCCCTACTGATGATAAGGTGATTCAGGTGAACATGGGAGATGTGATTAATCCAAAACCCATATTCATAAGTGATAGTTTATCGCAAGAGGAGAAAGAAGACCTCATTTCCCTAATTCGAGAGTATATTGATGTCTTCGCTTGGAATTACGAGGATATGCCTGGACTTGATCCCCAAGTGGCTATGCATCGACTAAATATCAAACTAGACGTCAAACCTGTTAAACAATAGCAAAGGCGATTTCGGCCGCAAATCATGGAAGCAATTGAAACTGAAGTCAAAAAGTTCATCGAATCAGGATTTATCCACGAAGAGCAACATCCTGATTGGGTGGCCAACATTGTCCCTATTCTAAAGAAGAATGGGAAGATTCGAGTATGCATCGACTTCCGCGATTTGAATTCGGCTTGTCCTAAAGATGATTTTCCACTACCTATCACTGGCGTCATCATTGACGATACGTGTGGGTTTGAGAGGATGTCATTTATGGATGGATTCTTAGGGTATAACCAAATCAAAATGTATCCTGATGACGAAAAACATACATCCTTTCGAACACCTTCAGGGATATATTGTTATACAGTAATGCCCTTTGGGTTGAAACATGCGGGTGCTACCTAACAACGCGCTATGACCTCTATCTTCCAAAAGCATCTACGAAAGACTATGGAATGTTACGTTGATGATTTGGTCGTCAAAAGTTGTGACAAAGGAAACCATTTACATGACTTGAAAACGATGTTTGATCTTATGCGGACGCACCACCTTAAGATGAATCCAACTAAGTCATTCTTAGGAATGGCTAGTGGTGAATTTCTCGCGTTCGTGGTCACGGCTAACGAAATTCGTTTGGACCCAGATAAAGTCAAAGCCATCTAAGAGCTACCACCTCCTAGGAATCTTAAGGAGCTTCGAGGTTTACAAGGACGATTGGTATATATTCGCAGGTTCATCTCTAATCTGTCCGGGAAATGCCAACCCTTCTCAAAACTAATGAAGAAAGGAGTATCCTTTATGTGGAACGAGGCTTGCCAGAAGGCGTTTGAGGAGATTAAGCAATATCTCTCCAATCCGCCAATATTGGTCGCACCAAAGTCAGGTAAACCTTTCTTGATATATATTCGGGCTACATATCATGCATTAGCAGGACTCCTGGCACAAGATGATGAAAATGGTCATGAACTAGCCATCTACTATCTGAGTAGGACATTATCGGGTGCTGAACCCCGTTATCCTCTCATTGAAAAGGAATGTTTGGCGTTAGTTTTCACAGTTCAGAAAATGCGACATTACTTGGTTGGGCAAACCATACATGTCATTTCTCAGGTTAATCATATTAGGGTATTTATGACACAACCCTGTGCATTGAACTGACGACTCGCCAGGTGGGCTTTGTTGCTTTCCCAATATGACATACACTTCAAATCTCAAAAGGCGGTGAAAGGTCATGCTATTTGTGATCTTATGGCTAATCATCCACTAAAAGAAAAGGCCGAGTTATACCAAGATATACCTGATGAGACATACGAAGCAAATGTTGTCTCTAGAGAACAAGTATGGAAATTGTACTTCGATGGTGCAGCAAGGACAAGTTCTACTGGTCGGGTTATAGCTGGAGTGGGGGTTGTCTTTATCTCTCCCCAAAACCACATACTCCCACGCACTATTTCCTTAACAGAACCGTGTTCTAACAATGTGGCGGAATATAATGCTCTACTGGTTGGGTTAGATATAGCCAAACAATTGGGGGTGAAACACTTAGAAGCATACGGTGATTCTCAACTCATTGTTAATCAAATGAAAGGAGAATATGAGGTTAGGAATGAAGACCTCATTCCTTACCATGCCGCAGCAATCACATTGGCCGATTCCTTTGAAGGCTTCTACATCGACCACATACCTCGTCTCAAGAATACCTATGCTGATGCATTGGCGTCACTTGCGACTACCTTAGCTCTACCTGAAGGAACTACCCAGCAAGTCACAGTGACAAGCAGACAATTATTCAAATCAAAGTATGCACTGCAGGTTAATGCATCTGGAGCGGAGCCTTCAACACTCGAACCTAAAGATTGGCGATTTCCGATCATTGATTATGTCTTATATGGCTTATTTCCTGAAGACATTAAAGAAAAAGAATCTATTCGTAGACGAGCACCTAGATTCTACTATGATTCTCAATCCCAGACTTTGTATCAGAAGTCATATGATGGACTTTTGCTTCGCTGTTTGTCAAATAGAGAAGCAAAAGAAGCCCTTAAAGAGGCTCATGGTGGTATTTGTGGAGCTCATCAGCCCTGTCCTAAGTTGTAGGACTAACTACGCAGATTGGGTTATTATTGGCCTAACATGGTACAAGACGCTGTTGCTTATGCCAAACGATGCCACGCCTGTCAGATACATGCTAATTATATGCATCGACCACCCGAGCATCTTCATCCTTCAACTACTTCATGGCCCTTCGAAACGTGGGGAATGGACATTGTTGGCCCAGTGACACCACCCTCTTCCAAAGGACATCGCTTCATTTTGGCGATAACCGATTACTTTTCTAAATGGGCAGAAGCAATCCCGTTGAGAGAAGTCAAAACGAGTGATGTTGTTAAAATTTTAAAATATCACGTTATATATAGGTACGGCGTTCCGAGACGTATCATTCATGACAATGGATCCCAATTCGTTAGCCAAGGCTTCACTCGATTCTGTGATAAATTCAGGATCAAGAATTTGGCTTCAACGGCTTATAATCCTGCTGCTAACGGGCAAGTAGAAGCATTTAAAAAAACCATCATCAGAATTCTCACTAAAGTGATTTCGACGAACAAAAAAGATTGGAATGAAAAATTAGGTCAGAGTCTGTGGGCTTATCGCACAACAGTTCGAACGCCGACAGGAGCGACACCATATTCCTTGGTATACGGGTGTGAAGCCGTATTACCACTAGAAATCCAAATTCCCTCTTTGCGGATAGCACTGGCAATTGGTATGACGACAGAAGAGAGTCATCGCCGATGTCTTGAAGAATTGGAAGCGCTAGATGAAAAGCGATTATTGGCTCAACAACACATTGAGCTTTATCAAGCTCGGATTTCCAGAGCATTTGATAAGAAGGTTAAGTATCGCACATTTAAGGAAGGTGACTTAGTTCTTGCATATCGACGCCCGATAATTTTGAACTCCAAGAAGAAAGGGAAGTTTGGGCTGAAGTGGGAAGAGCCATTTGTAGTAGAAACTGTCTACTCGAATGGAGCCTATCGTCTTATCACCAAAGATGGCGACAAAATTATGATGCCTATCAACGGTAAATTTTTGAAAAAATATTACCCGTAAACTTCATCTTCAAATATACTTTGTTGCAGGAGAAGAAGCAAATAAAGGTAATAATTTCTTTATTTCATCTCCTCCAAATTTTCCTCACTAATCCTTTTCAATAGGATAGCGAAACTATGATTGTGTTAATTCTACCTCTGATTGCTGATGATTTTTCCTAACATCGTCATTTTCCCAATTAACGTTCGTTTTCCAAACTTAGGCCTACCAAGTGATGTGCCTTCGTTTCCAACATCATCATACTTCTAAAGTCACTGAATGATGTGATTTTTCCTAACGTCGTCATTTTCCCAAATGACTTTCGTTTTCCAAACTTAGGCCTACCAAGTGATGTGCCTTCGTTTCCAACATCGTCATACTTCTAAAGTCACTGAATAATGTGATTTTTCCTAACGTCGTCATTTTCCCAAATGACGTTCGTTTTCCAAACTTAGGTCTACCAAGTGATGTGCCTTCGTTATTTTCCAAACGTCATCATTTACCCTTAATGACGTGCGTTTTCTAACATTGGTTTACTAAGTGAGGAGCCTTTGTTTTCTTTATCATTGTTATCTTAAGTCATTGAACGACTTGATATTCCTAACGACATCATTTTCACAAATGACGTTCGTTTTCCTAAGGAGTCTGTCATGTGATTGAACTTTGTTATTAATACTTAGTTATACCTTGAACCTCGTTATCATACATTTGATCTGAAGTCTAAAAAAAGACTAATGATAGAAGAGAAATCTTAGCATTAAAGTCTAAGAGAAACTCTTTGACAACTCATCATACTGATGGGAAAAGTATGGGTAGTCCAACTCAAACGGCAGTTGGTAAAGACCACTCAAGTCAGTTGACAGCTGAGGGTTTGCTAAAAATCCTAAGTTAGAATACTTTAGTTATGCAAGAGAACAATATATGGATAAAATATAAATTTTATTCATATATAATTGAAGATACAGAAAATCAAAGTACATAGATTGAACTTAGAAAACTCAGTTACAATACGAGGTTCAGTTACAAGTTCTCTCAGCTACAATACGAGGTTCAGTTACAAGTTCTCTCAGCTACAATACGAGGTTCAGTTACAAGTTCTTTCAGCTACAATACGAGGTTCAGTTACAAGTTCTTTCAGCTACACTACGAAGTTCAATTACAAGCTTCATGACCTTCGAGATTTGTCTACGAACCTCGTCCGCAGCAAATGTGCCATCTTGTTATTGAAGTTCCATCTTCCGTTCCTGGGCATGAAGTCGTCCCTATACTTAACTTTGAGCTTAGGCGCTTGTAGCACACGTCTACCTACTTGGGTAAACTGACTACTAATTGAAACACCACAAGCTCTGAGCATAGGATCAACACTTCTCCCATCTCCGCAGAATGTGAAGACGGCACTAACATTGTTGTTGACTCCTAAAAGAAGTACTTCACTAGGTCTGTGAAGCTGCCGCATAGACCGAAGTCCAGAGAAAAGACTATATGCTTGGGGGTACATGGCATGCTAAAACAGTAAGCATATTTGGATTTAAAATATCTCTTTGAGGTTACATTCAAAAGTCCAACAAGTTGCCGAAACACGCCCTGATTGTGACTCTGGAACACTGAGAAACCCTCAAATGAACGAACTACTATGAAGACCAAGAGATCAGAGATCGGGTCAGAAGAGTTACCTGAAGTGACAAAGTCATCAACTTTGCCTACCTCACTGGCGACGATCATCGGAGTTTGGAGTCTAATAAGAAGCAAAGGTGGAAGTCTTAAAGTGGTTCGTTTCCTCTGAATCATTTTGGAAACAAGGCATAGAAGAGGAAGATGAATCCTCTCGAAAAGCGACTGCCTATTTATAGACGCAGGTGCCAACCAGGTGGCTGGAGTGTATTACACGAATCCCCAAGCACCGAATCGCCAAGAGGTGTTGAGAACGAAGCGGCGCAATCAATTGCGTTCGTAATTAACGCCAAACGAAAACGTGGCTCGAAGCGACGCATTAAGTGCTCAAGATTTAATGCTGACGAGATGAAACGACGGATTCTTGTGGATTAACAGTCTTGGAACTGTTGAAAGTTGCCACGTCATTCAACGAGATTTATTCTTGTTCCTAAAAATAATAATATATAATAATGAGGGTCGCTGTTTCAAACTAAACTTAGATATTGGAACTCGATCGAGAGTGGGTTCGAACCTCATCTTCGACGAAGGTCATCCCTCTATTCGAACTCAATTGTTGAGATTTGAATCCGAACCTCGTCTTCGATGAAGGTCGTTCTTTTAGTTGAACTGAAGTGTTAAAACTTAATTGAAAGTTGATTCGAACCTCGTCTTCGATGAAGGTCGTTCCCTTAGTTGAGCTCAAGTATTGAAGAGGCTTGATTGAAAAAGGATCCGAACCTTGTCCTCGACGAAGGTCATTCCTTTAATTATACTCAAGTGTTGAAACTTGATCAAATTTGGAATACGAACCTTGTCTTTGACGTAGGTCGTTCCTCTAGCTATACTTGAATATTGAGATTTGATCAAAATTGGATCAGAATCTCGTCTTTGACGAAGGTCGTTCCTCTAACTATACTTGAGTATTGAAATTTGATCAAAATTGAGTCCGAACCTCGTCTTCGACGAAGGTCGCTCCTTGAATCTTACTCAATATAGAAAACTCGATTGAAATCAGATTTGAACCTCGTCTCCCACGAAGGTCATTCCGATAATTGAGTTCAAAATTAGGACCTCGTTATGACGAATATGAATTGGAATTCGAATCCAACCTTGTATTAAAATAACAAGGTTCGTACTTCAAATCATAAATCTCAAAATAACGAAGTTCGTGAATTTTGGTATTAAAATTACGTATTGAGGTGCAAAGTAGAGTTAGTGAACAAAGGTATATGAAATTCTACTTATATGTGAAGAAGAGGGTTACAAAAGTCAGATAAAAAGGATGAAGCTAAATGAATCCAGCAATTTGACGAATCTCCTCAGCGAGCTTAGTTATGGATTCTTGGTTTTCTGCTTCAACATTAGCTAAAGCATGTCTACATAGCTCCTCATCAGAATAGACGCTCATATCGTTTACAGCTTTTTCTAGCTGCTCCATTCGATCAACTTCAGCTTGAAGCAAGGGTTGATGCTGCATTTGTTTTGAAGCCAATGTCTGCTTCATTTCTGTCATGCCTGCCAATTCAGCTTCAGCCTCTGCCAATTGGACCTGAAGAGCCTTAAGTTGAGCTTGAAGATGGTCGACCTGACGTTGTTTTTGAAGTTCAGTGTTGGCAACCTTTCTACTCTCACGAGATAAATTCTCTTCAGTCTATTTGAACTCCTTAATTCGTTGCTTGGTCTCAAGCAATTGACGATCAATTTCAAATAAGGAGTCATCCCTTTGCCGCATAGCTTTCATGGCTCGTTCTTCAGCCAAAGGGTAAAGAGATCGAGATCGACGATTTTCCCATTGATTGAAAAGATCTTCAACCTTGGTCAGGTGCAACCAATATGGTAATACGGCAAGGTCAGAGGTTAAATGCTTCATCAAGTCCAAGAAAGGCACCAGCACCTCTTTAACATCTGCAAAATTTCCTCCATGGTCCAAAACATGAACAAAAGATTCTCTCAGGATGATGAGAAAGTTCTTCGATATCTTTGATACAGCGAAAGTTCTCGCCGAAGATGGAGGAGAAGCATGTGAGCTACTAGAGGACACCGTTGCATGAGTAGCGGCCAAAGAAACTTTAGCTGCTGTGAAGACTGGCGACGCATGGCATGCAGTAGGAGCGTCAGCAGTTGTAGCAACCATTGCGGTAGTAGTAGGAGCAGCAGCGACTGCAGTACTTGATATAATGTAAGTCTTAGTCGTCGCAATGGAACTAGTAGACACGATACTCGTATCCAAAGTGGCTTCAACTTCAGCTCTGGTGGTTGGATCAAATTCATTCCTCTCAGCTTCCTCAGGAGCAACAGTCGGATTATCAGCTGTGCCTGGTTCTATAACTGAACTTGGGAGCACCCTACTT